CCTATACTAAGTAATAGGCGTTATAAAAAGATACCCTCTTTTATACCTTATACTAACGCTAATAGCTCTGCTTCCGTTATTAACGTCGTGACCGTATCCTGCTTATTAGCGCGCTACGCGATTATACTGCTAAATAAGCATATCACGTACACTTAACTGCTTTTTCGATCAAGGGTATTATCGGTAAATAAGGCGTTAGTATAGATTTTAATAGTATCGCTACCCCTTAGTTTTAACGTAAACTATTAGCTATTAATTAGATAAAGGATTAGATAATCGGCGGCCTTATAGTATATAGGCCCTGGATTAATATTAAACCCATATAGTCTTAATACTATGAAAGCGATATCTAGCCGCGATATTACTACTACGTATAGTATAGATCCTATCTTCCGTTAATAGCTTTTAATATTAGTCGAGGTCCCTAAATAGTGTAATAGCTCTATAACCTTAATTAGGTGTATTAGGCGATAGTTACTACTATACTTACTATTCAGCTTTAATAGGCGTTCTAACTTAATAACGTAGTCGTGTTATGATAGCCAGATTTTACGGGCGACGCGGGCGTGAATAACCTTAATACTAAGGAACTACTATAGAGGATCGCTACCTTATAGGTTATAGTGGCGTTATAGGTTATTAACGGCCTATTTTATCTACGCCTTATATTATTCCTTATAAGCGATAACGATATCGTCGACGTAGAAGAATACGATTAAACTATATCGTAGACAATAACACGGTTTGTACGGTATTATCTAGAAATCGTACGTTAAAAGGATAGCCGAAAAGTGCTTTTACTAAAGTAGTGGAGACTCCTTAAGTCTATATAACGCCTTTTTCAGGTATAAACGACTCCTAGGAGCTTAAAGGCTAGCTGCGGGTATATAAAGGTATCGTAGGGGAGGGGCGCGTATATAAACGCGTTTATAACGTTAAATTATAATAGCGTAAGGTTAAATCGGGCGGCGATAGCTATTAACGCGCTGAATAACTATCTGGTTAGCGTTACTATGTATATCTCCTCGAGTAAGGATTAATACTACTAATCTCCTCGTACTATAAGCCTTACCTTATATTTATATAGAAATCTATACTTATTAAACTTATATATTATTACCTATATCGAAGTAAGTACCTAATATCTATCTACTACGGACGCCGGCACACGTATCCATAACCCTATCTCCTCGTAGCTCCGTAGGTGGTCTTCTTATACCTATCGGAATAGGTGGTTATAGGGGTATAAGGGTATATCGTAAGGGTTTTTCGGAGGAGGAAGGAGGTCTTTACGGTGGATCTTTATAGCCGCCGGGGTAACCGCTGGAGTACCCGCTAAAATAACCGCCGGGGTTATATTTCCCGAGATAGCCTCCCGGGTTATACTTCCGGTAGTTACCGCCGGGGCCGTGGATGTATAGAGTATTATTAAGCGTCGCTATAGCGCTATAGGCGTAGACCTTTTTAACCGTAATTTAGTTAGCGGAGTCCTATTTAATATATATATATCCGGGGCATAACGGCTAGCGTTAAATACTATAATCTAATAATCTCTTTTCTAGCTATCTCCTTACCTAATTAGTCGCGCTCCCCTATCTATAAGGAGCCCTATAGCCGTAACTATAGGGGTATTATAGCACCGTATTCCTCTATCTATAAGGAACCCTACGGCTATAACCGTAAAGGATTCACGATTTCCTAATATTACGGCTACTATTAGCGCTATAACCGATAGTAGGGTTACTAGTAGAGTAGGAAATAGTGGATCGGGCGGATATAAACGGTAATCAGGCGCTATACCGGCTAAATTACACTATTCGTGACCTAAATCGTATCCTGATTAAGTCGAGATAGCCTCCTCTACCCCTTTACGGCCGGGTATTACGGACTATAACCTTAACGCTAAAGCCGTTAAGGAAGGGGATCCGGGGGGAAGCTCCCCCGGTAAAGGGTTAAGTTCAAACTAAGCAGTTATATAAGGGGGGGGGGTCCTTAGCTTATACGTCCGTAAACGGCCATAAATCTCTAGCCCTCTCCTACTCGATCTAATTAATTAGGTCTTCTAATTACTCCTCGGTTAATTAACGGAGGTTATCCTTAAAGGCGTTAATATCGCCGTTAAAAAAGGTATATTCGTTAAAGTCTATACCGCGCGTACGGATAACGCGGTAGTAGCGCCGGCCTAGTACCTAGATACGGAAGATATTAGTGGAATCGTAGCCGATAAGATAGCCGATATAGGCGCGGGGAGCGATACGATTTAATAGCTTATTAGCAGCCTTTTATGCGTTCTTTATTATCGCGTACGCTTTATAGCCGTAGGTTCGGAGATATAATAAAATCGGCTTCCTTCTAAAAAGGACCTTATATAGCGTTTTCTAATCCTTATTATTATACTGCCTTCGTAGCGTCCGGTTATAAATGTATACGGCTATAGAAGTAGCCTTAGGCTATATAAACGGCGGCAGTTTTACGTGGATATGTACCGCACGACCCTTTAAAATAACCACGGTAATAGCGCGTTTGACACCCCCGTTCTACGCTTAAGTGTCGGTAGCAGATGCCTTTAAAAGGATACCCTTATCACGCACGAATTAGGTGATATCGTGGGATTAAGTTAGCTCGTTATTAGATTCGAAAACGCGTACCTTATAGCCTAATTAACGGTCTACCTAGGCAAGGAATTCCTTAATTATTACGAGGATATCCACTGCCCGCTTACTCTTTATAATATAGGTGGCCGTAAAACCACTATAACGGTCGGTGAAAAATATAAACCACGAGTCCTTATCGGACGTTTGGTTAAAATCCGTGAAATTAATCGCCTACTGCTCCCCTACCGAAGCAAGTATATTACGAGGGTACCTGCTAATATACCGCTGTATCTTTATAAGCTTATAGGCCTTATAGTCGATAGTTATTAGTCCCTTGATTTTAACCCCCTGCGTCTACTCTTCTAGGTGCCGAAGTGGTTTAGGGCCTGCGTGCCTTAGCCGTAGATACTATAGGATACCCTCTACCGTGCTTAGATACCGTATCGTCGATTTATAGATAGCTTTTTGGGTCGTAGAAGAAGAAAAGCCTAGAAAAGTAGCCGTAGATTAGTTAGAAGGTACATATTTGATAACGGTTTAATCGAAGCAGTGACTTAGCTAGTATGATATAAATCTATTAGAATGCCGAATACAGTTTTTTAGTGGCTTCTAATCCTATTAGTATCCTCGAAGACGTAGGCGTTAGTTAGAAATTAAATTACAGGTAAAATCTTCGTAGTATACGACGTTTAATAGCCTAAAATCGAGGTCTCCTATTAGTCCGTTTAATCTAATAGTCACGTTACCGTAACCTGTAATAGGCAGGGATAAACTACCGGCTACTACGTAGTCACCCTATATAGCGCGTATAAAATCAGAAAAACGGGAAAAATCGTTAACAATATAAATAGTGGCACCGGAATAGAGGATAGCAGAGGCTTAAAGAGGGTAACTAGTAGTAGCGGCTTATACTATAAAGCTAGCGGCGTAGGAGACACTATTAGGGGCGAGTCACGCCTCTTTAAGCTATACAGAATCCCGGCCTATATCCTTCTTCACCCTCTTTACAGCGCGTAGTTCTTCTACTTCCGCGCGTATAGCAGGGTCGTATTTAAGGATCCGGTCGACGGTTATTTTAGTGCTTTATAGGTCGTTTAGCCGTCGAACGCTATCTCCGGAAAGATATAGTAATAGGTGTTAATATCGTGATACGGCGTAGCGTATACTTAATAGGGTTCCCCTTATCGGAGGGCAGATTAATATCTTTTAGAAGAAGAATGGTTAGTTAAAGTAGTAGAAGGTATAGCTATAGATACCGTGGTAGTAAGATTCTTAGCTTTATTCTTCCTACGGCCGCCCTTTTTATAGGGCTTAGCCGTGGCCTTTAAGGTATCTTTACCCTCCTTACTTCCTGTATATAATATAGGGAATACTATAGTGCGGTGGCTACCGCGTTTTCCTTAGTCTTTAAGTCTAGTATTAATATATTTCTAGCCGAGGGTATAAAGATCTTCGGGTATAACTACTTAGTTATCTATCAGGCGTCCCTCGGCCTTAGTCTGATCTCGGCCGGTATAGGGGCATATACCTCTAAAGAAGTCTATAACCTATATATACGTGGCGGGCTTCGAACCGGTATCTTTATAGCTTTATAGTAGTAGCTACCACTTATCTAACCACTCCCCTAGCTTCTTAAGGCTATTCGCAGGGTACTAAGTATACTCGATATACTCTTTATAGGTATCGGTTTAGTAGGTAGCTAGGTATTAATCCGTATCGCGTTTAACGGCTTCGTATACCTCGCAAGGTATACCTCCTCGTAGTAGTTATCTACGGCTTTAGTCGATCGTATTAACCTACTAGGTTAGTATAGCGTTAATCCCCTTTAGGTAGCTATCGTATTACGCTTATAGGATCTTCTAGCGCGCGATTTCGATATTATACGCCTTCTAGCCGGCATCCGTAAGGTCGAGATATTATATAGGGATACGCCTAGGCGTTATAGAGGGGAAAGAGTCGTAATTCGGTATTATAGGCTCCTCCGGGGGATTAAGTCGGATCGACTAGGCGGAGAAACCTCTACACGATATTATAGGTAGTAACCGATTTATATAGGCGTCGCCAGACCTCCTAATCCTTATAGGTTTTATACGTAATAGGGCTAAGATTCGATATCTTAATCGTATTTATAGATTAACACGCTATATCGGCGCGGCTAGATAGCTTCTTAAATCGGTAGTAGTAGTAGAGGTAAAAAGGTAGGTAAAAATAGGTATATCTTTACTTAGCAAGTAAGACTCTTAATTATCAGATAAAGCGTAGTTAAAATCGTTATAAAATAGGTTAAAATGGATTAAGGCAATTATGTATAATTATAACTGTCTTAGACCGTTAGGGAAACGCTGCCACCGTATTTTATATAGTGCAGATTCTGTAAGCGTCTACCCGGATTATACTCTTGGCAATCTGGCCCATTACGTAACCGAAAAGACTGTGGTCTGTTCGACACTCTGTACTGGCTCCCTAGTAGGGCCCTACAAACACTGTCATATGTGATCGAACGATTGATAATGGAACTGGCAAGGAAGTAGGTAGTGCAGATAACCAGTTGGAAAAACGTTAATCGCCAAGGCATTTAGGTAACCGCCGATAATCCATCTCTCTATTGTGCGGCTTCTCGTCGTATCTACTTGCCGTATTGGCAGGTCTTGCGGAAGGCTTCTCCTTTCATGTGGTAAAAAAATATTTGTGAGAGAGAACATAGACACCACCTAGGCTCCTGGCTGTTTTCTGTTTAAAGACTGCGAAATGCGGGAAAAAAACTTGCCCGCCTGAGAACGTGGAAATGTGATATCTTCGATTAAATAGTCGGGTAGAACGCTCGTCAGCTCTTTGTCCCTTTCTGCATCAAGCTGAGGCATATAGGTAAATTGTGCGTCTTCGTAATCAGTGTCGCACCCCTTGACCCCGGCAGTGAGCCTGAAACGAAGAACTTGGATTTCATCAGTAATAGGTACGTTATTCGACAAAAACAAAACAGAGAGACATAATAATAAACGAGGAAAAGAAAACGTCGGAGAAGACCAAACTAGCAGGCCCTGGTGCCTCAGCCGTAGAAAGATAATGGCACACGGAGCCTTGTGAGGTTAAGCTCTGAACGGTTGAACCACTTACTTCCGATGTTTCCTCTCTGAATACAATCGAAGGCAATCCCCGATGGCTTGCGCATCGTGTTTTGGATAACAAGACCAGTCAAGTCACCATAGAGTTCGTCCTTCATCTGGGCCTCATGTACTTCATACACGGCCGCGGGAGCAGAATCATTTCGGGGTACGTCGTTGCATCTTTTAGACCCACTGCTAGAAACCTTGATGCCGGGTATTTCTGTTGATCCGGCTGCCAGTAATTTCTCCCTGAGCACTTGAGTCTCCTCCTGGGCCTCGGATAGTGATGTTTTGAGCTCAGCAATTTGCGCATTGGCGTCCTCATAATGCTCCCGGTGTTGCTGGGCCTCTTCGGCTAACTGGCGCTGCACCACTAGTTCTGCCCGAAGACCAGATATTAGATCGTTTGCAGCTGATGCTTGTTAGCGATGAAGATAATCTTGAATATCTTTACGTAAATAAACAAACTCACCATTGGCTTGTTCCTCGCACTGCTTCTTGAGACGCTCAAAATTACGCTCTGCCTCACCAATACCTAATTCCCGCAGATTCTGATACCGAGCCTCCAACCGCTCGTATATACTATTCAATTCACCCATTTGGCTCTGTAAAGTCGCACTGCCGATGTTCCGTATAGACTCGCTGGTCGGCATATTAATCGAACTAGAAGGCACAATCGGTGCAGTCAATCCCGACGACGCTGGTGGAGGCCGCGAAAATGTTTCCTCCGACAACTCGTCTTTGTCATCCATGTCCATGGTGGTTGAATATTGCACGGCAAAGACTTTGGAGGCCTCGCCAGCTTTAAGGTACTTCGCTGCGTGTCGTGTACGGCCCAGACCATCCATACCGATGCTCTTCGATGGAGAGACCTGGGGTTCTGGGATACTATGGTTTGTTTCCATTGTCTGACCGTGGCTATGCCGCTGGGATGCTCCCGCCTTTGGATTCGCCATATCTTCCTCCTTGTCACCTTTGCACAAATCAATAGCTGGATGTGGCTTGCGGCCTTTCCTGGTGTTGCATTCATTCATGTCTTCGGGAATAGACCTTCCGGAAAAGTTTCTTATTCTCCCAGTCCCTTTGCTTGCTTGGCCGGATGAGTGGCGTCCTGGCTTGGAGACTTTTCTCACCACTGACCGGACTCGCTTTCTGGCCATCCCTGGGGTGTCCGGGCCCAGAGTATGGCCTGGGCTGAAGGAAGGAAGAGACAGCTCATCTCCATCTAAGTCCTCTTTCAACTGCGAGAGCTTTGATGATAAATCAGTTGGTCGCATGGAGTCTGGTGTCTCAGCATCGGAGCGCAATGCTGCCTGCGTAATTAGTTCCCGTGACTATAATATCGACAGTAATTTAGTGCTCTTGATTCTATGACAGCAATACCCGTGCCATGCCCCACTTATTTTCGTTCGTTTGGCATATCGCACGTTAAAATTGTCGCACGTCAAATAGCACTTGTATAATTAAGGTAACTTGGTAGAGCAGAAATCTGTCGTATGGGCAGGACCACGACGTGGTCCATAGGGGATCCAGGGGGGATCTACTCCCTGAGTAAGGGCTTCGGACCTCGGGTATTAGGATATGACAGGGGCGGATACCGGAAAAGACCGGATAGGATCTAAATGATATAGTACCTATAATAGAGTCTTCACCACCTAAATTAAGGGTATAAGAGACTTATATAGATATAACTTAATAATATATATATATACGAGATTTCTGCTTTACTAAGTTAATTATCTAAGTTCCTTTTAACGTGCGATAGTTATAAGCCCGGTTTATAACGCCTAAACGATTATTAATAAGGCTACCCCTATTCTACTATAAAAGTAATCACGTTTATATAAGCACTCTTAAATAACTATTATAGACCTAATTAGAGTAATTAAAAGATTAATTAACCTACCTATTAATTAACTAACCGATAAACTAGTAAAGATATCTTTTAATATATCTAACGCCGAATAGAAGGCGGCCGCTACTACCCTTATTAATTAGAGGGATTAGGTAATATAGGAGTACGCTATACGCGGTAAATCTGCCTCCTACTAGGAAAACTATCTCGATCTAAAGCTAAGCGATAAGGAGGCCGATACCTACCTACTTCTTAAGCCTACGCCACCTAATAGCTATAAATACGAAGCCTTTACCGTGGACCCCGACGCGGAGGAGGCCACGGCTACCTTATCTTCCACTATCACGGCTACTCCGTCTTTTACTATTATGCTAAAAGGCGATAAGGCCACGGACGCTACGGACGCCGTAGCTATAGCTACCACGGCCGGTATTATAGTAGCTATAGCCGCCAGTAAAAGGAAGATAGCCGCTCGCCCGAAGGTTATAGCCGTAATAAAAGAACCACCGATAAGGACGCTTATATCTATCGACGACCTCTTTAAAAAGGGGCGTACGCGTTATCTATAAGATCGCCGCATATACTATAAGAAAAAGGCAGACTATAATATATAGTAGAAGGAGTTTAATAAGGTATACTTAGATATTAAAAGGATTATCTATACCACGTTATATAATCTCTTTATATAACTATAGAATAATAACGTAAAAAACCTATAACCTTAGATTACTCTCCTATATATATATATAGGACTAACCCCTATAAAGCTTTATAAGGAAGCCTTAGTCCTATATCGACGATACACCACGCCTATAAAGGCTATACCTAAGGATATAGACGGCTGGGTTATAAGCTAGAAAATAGCGATAATACACTATAAATATATAGGCGTTTTAGAACTATTAAGCGCGGACTATTAGGTAGAAGACGTGTTAAAAGCTATTAGACCTATCGCCTAGGAATAGAGTAATAACTACCTAGTAAATAACTACGATAAGATTACGGAAAATAAGCTATCGATTAACGACTTCGTAAAGGCTCTATATACGGTTCTTAGTAATATAAAAAGCCTATAATCCTCCGCTATAAAGCCTAAAGTCGGGAGAGACACCTTTAATACCCTCGGGACCTCCCCGATACTAAGGATACTACTAATAATAAAGATAATAAGAAGCGTCCTCGTAGTAATACGTCCGTAAAGGCTATCCCTCCCGTAACGAGGAGGCCTTATAAGATATATAAGAACCCCTATACTACCGCCGCCTATTAGTATATAAGGCCGGATATACGCCCTTATACCTAGCGCGGCCGCGAAGATATTACGAAGGCTATAGAAAAGAAGATACGTAACTATAGTTTTAAAAGCCGCGTGGATACCGCGATATAGAAGAGGCGGAAAGTAGTAGCTACCACCGCTAATAAGATAGAGGAAGTCTAGAAAGATTAACTCTATAATACTACGCCTACGACTATAATAGTTTATAAAGACCTGTCCATTACCGCGACGGGACTAGGAGCCTACTTAACCTAAGGGGTAGCGTGTTATTATACGATAATACTATTAAGATTATAATATAAATAGGGGGTATCCGTTTATATTAACTAAGCCAGAGCGCTATTATACTACGCGATTCTAGATTTAGAATTATTAATCTAGATCCTTAATAATTAAGGCCGTTTTACGGCTATTAGACTACCCACGGATACTTTATTATCCTTTTAATTAGGTACTTATAAGGCTTTTATCCTCGGATACGGAGATATTAAGCTATGTGTATAATCCCTATTAGGCACGAGGAGGCTATTACGCCTCCGTAATGTCGTATACTATAAGAAATTCGTTAATATAGTCTTAGAACGCTAGCTACGCCTATAAGGTTACCGTTAGGATACCGTAAACGATACTATCGTTAGCTCCGCCGACGACCGGCCTATCTATAAGCTGCTAGATATCCACGGCTAGTATATAATCGAGCGCGCGGAAGCCACGGCCACTACCGCGTTCGCGGTCTTAGCAAGGCACCCCCGCGATAACCCGTATAGAAGATCACGATAACCGTGGTAACCATAGAAGACTATAGTATAATGGTGGTATAAACGCCTTGGCTATTATAGTACCGATACTCTTATAAAGATTATCGACGCTACTTAGGGGGTAAAGATAAAAGACCTCGTATAACGGACTATAACGCGTATAGGTAATCGTAAATACCTATGTAGATCCGGTGAATACTATTCTTTTACCCGTTAAAGCCCGGAGAGGCCCTGGCTATTAATCTTTATAATCTAGAAGAGGCGGAGTTATTAGCAGGCGGCCTATATAAGTCTATTACATTCGTTATAAACGTGTATATAGGTTATATATAGGATTACTACTTATAGAAGAGAGACTAAGGCTCTATCTTATACGTGCTAAAAGACAATTTTACCCTGCTTAAGACCTAATTCGACGCTAAGCCACGTATTCTACGGGCCGATTCTAAGATATTTTAACACCTAGAAGTCGTTGCTTTCCTCGCTGCTAAGGGGGTGGAAGGCTAGCCGTCGGTATTATATTTATAGGATTAAAACAGCGTTATAGAATAGATTAGAGGTATCGTTAAAAGGAGGGCGAGGGCTATAAGGATTAAGGCTAATCTGCCTATATCTATCTAGCCTAAGATCTTTAAGACTGCTATATATCTATATAATAGGACGCCACGATATATTAATAACTAGCGAACGCTATACGAAGGCCTGCGCAGCCGTTAACCTAACCTTACGTACCTACGAGCTTACGGCTATAAAGCCTTTACAAAAACGCGCGATACCTAAGCTAAAAGGAACTGCCTATAAAGGCTAGAACCGAAGGTATAGATTAGTTATTATATCGGATACTAATCCTCGAATAGCTTCCGTATTTAGCTACTATACCTAACGGATATTATTACTACGAGAGACGTGGTCTTTAACGAAGATAAGATATTCAATAGTAGCATTAAAACGCTATAAGCTATAGCTTCCGCCGAGGAAATTGGGGAATACCTATAATCTATCCATATTACCTAATCTAATAAGACCGCGAATAGGCTGCTATTAAGGGGTATAGCCATAGACGTATTAGATCTTAAGTCAGAAGACTCTAACGCCACCGTTATTACTACGGGTGAAGGCGACGCTACCGCTATTACTACGGATAAAGGCGAGCCGTCGCTATTACTACGAGAGAGGCTACTACTATTACTATAGACTATATTACCGCTATTACTACGGGCACCGCTATTACTACGGTTACTGCTATTACTATAGGAGAAGACTATACTACCGCTATTACTACGGGAGAGGCTACCGTTATTATTACAGATACTAATACTATTACGGATACTCTGTGGTTTACCGGTATAAGATTCGAACCGTTTCCCACGCCTCTAACATCCCCTGAAGATCCTATGCGCGCGTTCTTTATAGCATTAGCGGTGGTTAGGGGCGTTAAGATAGAAGGAGACGATAATAACTAACGGGTAGCCGTGGATACCCTGAGGGGGTGCCTGTCAGCTATACGCTTATTAGCCACGCGCCTATTGGCCGCGCGCCTATTTATCGTAAGTATCTATAAATCCGAGAAGATATAGAACGATAACGCCTAGAAAGCGTTCTTTAACGCTAGAAGGACTTATAACCCTATACGCGCGAGAAAGTAAGCTGTTAACGATAGCGATATCGGTGCTATAGATTCTACTCCCTCTAATACCTCTTAGCCATTATCGTATATAACCCGCGAGGATCTACCGCCTTTACTAAACCACCACCGCGATATACGCCTTTACCCGTTACGGGAGCGGTAGTTCTAGGCTAAGAGGGAATACCTTAAGGGGTATCGATAAATAGGCTACTAGTAGGAGGTAGACGGTAATTAGGCTAATAAGTAATAAGTCCTCGCCTATAGATAGGTATATACCTATAAATTTCATAAGGAGGGCACCCTCCTTAAGTATAAGGCACGCCTTATAGTGCGAGGGGATTAATAAAAATAGTTACAAACGGAAGATAATTACGCCGCTATATTAGCCTCGCGGTCCTTCTATATACTAATAACGATCGCCGCACGATTCGATCTAGAAATAAGGTAGTTTAATACCGTTAATGCGTTCGTTAACGCTAGCCTTAAAGAAGAGCTGTTTATAAAGATACCGTAAGGCTACGAAGTACTAGGTAAGGTCCTACTATTACGGAAAGCCCTTTTCGGTATAAGGGTATCGCTACTACTATAGTAAGAGAAATTTAGCGGCACGCTATAGAGGATAGGCTTTATAGCCGCCCTTAACGACCCCTATATTATAATCCGCGACGGTTTAATCCTATTCTTCTACGTTAACGATATCGGACTTATATACTATAGAGACCGTAAGACAGACGCCAACAACCTCAAGGCCGCCCTTAAGCGAAGCTATAGGTTATTAGGAGGCGAAGAAATCCGTTAGTTCCTAGGAATTAAGATCCTAAGGGATAAAGCCACCCGTAGATTATAGCTATTATAATCCTTTTACGTGGAGAAGATCGCGGTTAAATACTGCGTAGATATACTCTGCCAAAAACTACTAAAGGTCCTGTTATCTATAGAGCCGTTAATGCCACGCGACAGCACGCGCGC